AGGAATACATTTAGTGCCTAGCTGAGGTATTTGCATTGAGCTATTCATTCACCACAACTTGCTATTGATTTACAGTTCATTAAAAGCAAAATGAACGGTTCCCAGAGGTAAAAGATATTGGTGATAAGCCTTGGGCTTATGGGATAAAAGATGGGTTCCCCCCATCAAGCCCTCTTTGCACTGTCTCCTCCTCACAAGGAGGAGGATGCCAGAACTTAGAGTCCTGGGAATCCTGCAGAGAGCCAACCCTGAGTTATTGGATATGGTAAGGTGTATTGAACTTATTAACTACTTTGTGTAAAAGAGTATGAGAGATAGATAGAGTACCCCTCTTTGTATTGAACTTATTAACTACTTTGTGTAAAAGAGTATGAGAGACAGACAGATTGTGCCCCTCTACTATGTTAAAGATGATTTAAAAGTTGTGACCTGCTGTTTAATTTCGTGCCATCATTTTACCACTGTGTCCACATCAAAACTTAGCTACTTCAAATAACAAGGGATGAGTATGCAAGTGAGCAATGAGGATTCCAACTATGAAAGAACAGATAGAGAACACACTGCCATCTCACTGACTGCATACAAACAACTATTAATAACTGACTTGGAGAGAAATGCTTGTGACTTGAAGCCCAGCTGTGAATGTATCAACTCACCTTGCTAAAATGTTAGCTGAGTGGCATCGCCAGGTATGTAAATATGTAGCAACTCACCTTGCTAAAATGTTAGCTGAGTGGCATGCCAGGTATGTAAATATAACTGAAGTCATACAAACTACCATGGCTACCGTGAAGCACTCAGTAACCAGAATGTCAATATTCCCCTTTGAAAATGCTGACTGACAGAAAAAAAGGCCATTAATCTTGCAGTCCAACAGAACAGATCCACAAGAAACAACCAACAGAAGAAAGAGGTTGACATAATTTCATCTTTAATGCTTTATCTGAAAGATAGCACCACTGGATAGTATTGCTTTCTCTTTGGTCTGGTTGAATTACACATTGGTCATAAAGAGTGACACTACAGAGACAAGTGTGTGAACTCTTAACCTTTTGGTTCTAAGCAATTCAAGGATACTGATAAAATCTGAAAGTGCAGCAAGTGTCACCACTGGGTTCTAGCAACTGGGTTAGTTCCATATGTGGGTTATATTTGTTGATTGCATAGATACGAAATTTCTTAGTTCCATTACAGCCTGTATGTCAATCTAGTTATACGCAGATTTTATTTCAAGAAGTCTATTCGTTAGTCAATAAAAGGAAACATAAGGGAACAGCTTATGTTTATGCAAATATCTTTCAAGGATAAATTCATAAATAAAAATTCAAAATAAATTTAAAAAAGAAAAATAGTAGTGTAAAAAGCACTATCCTTGCCCAATTTGGATTTTAAAAACCAACCCTCTAAGCATAGTATTTATCCTTTCCTCTGTCAAATCCGTTCCTTTTGCAATAGAAGATGAGGAAAAGTGGCCAACAGATAAGGAGTAGGCCATCTTTTATAAAAGTTCCTGGGACGACTTCTCACAAGTCAAATAAACATCCTGTAAATCTGAGGTAAGATTGCCCTAGCATGGGTACCCACACAGTTTTGGTAATTTCTCAAGCTGAACAAAAAGTCTAATCACAGGGCATACACTAGTGGTAAAGTATAGTTAAATAATCATTTCAAAATTTTAACTATTTCTTTAGTTCAGGGATCATCTCAGTATATGAAAATCAGCTGTAATACATAGAGTTGATAATGTTTGTGGAAGTAATCGTATTAAAATATTATCTGGCATGTCTTGCAGCCATACAAAAATAACTCCAAAAACAGATTACATGTAAGTTCCCTCTGCTTGAACACTAACCAGTTTAATATTAAATATATTTTTTTCTAAACTGTAGTTGAGGAGTAAACTTTAGATCTTGGTTCTGTCACTTAAATATAGACTAATCCGGGAGCTGAAATTATTTTCTAAATTTAAACAGTAACAATCAACCTTATCCACTCACTGCTTAACCTTTGACTTAGGTTCTAACTGTACTTCAATAATATAAAACTCCCAAAAGAAAAAAAAAACCCTTCAGTTTAATACCCTCTAATATTCTGGTCTTTTATTCATAAAACTTTGTTGACCTTCTGTCAATTGCTAAACTCCAGAACTCCCCAAACAAAGAATCCACTGTGGTCTTCGATTCAGCTGCCAATCTGATTACTTTAGATTTGGGAAACAGGCTACTTAGATGGCTGAATCAGGGCCTTTCATTTAAATTCCTTTTTTCAATATCTCCAGGCCTTGGCAACCAATTGCAAAGAGGACTTGCCAAACCTGTAAAGGCTGGTGAACAGTCTACAAAAGACACAGTTAGTATTACGTGATCAGTGCACTGCTTTTTATAGTTAAAGAAGATTAGGAGCTCTATTTTTTCTTTGACAGTTAGCATTTTCACATAAAAATATGAAAGAGGGAAAACTTTTATACTTTTTGTTTCACTTGTTTGGTGCCAGAGGCATTACATACAGTTGTTAGAACACACACAGTGTTCTGTGAAGTTATCTAAACAATTATTTCAATGTAAAAGTAGATTATTTGATTCCTCAGAGGGGAAAAAAATCCTTTATCATGATCTCAAACTAAATTGACAGCAATAAGAGCTTTCACTATAAAAATGTTAGAATTGGAGTCAGCCTTTGTACATTTACTCTAACTTCAACAACTAACAACCAACCAGCATATTGACATGATACAGGAATGTTGAACCTCAAAAGTAATTAACCCCCTGAAAGTTGGCACAACACACATCTAACTGATAAGCTACATATAAAAAGTTGTCATTATTTATAAGCATCCCTCTTGGAATAAAGAAACTTGTTTCCTTAACATAAGACTTCCTCCATTAATTTTGTTCTGTTTTGCATGAATGCTCAAATGAAATGGTTTACCTAAAAAAATAAGGAAAAAAAACAGGAAGCAAAATATATGAACTAGAAGGCTAGGCGCTTGAGAGGAATTTGCACACATGTACTAATCTGAATGCTTATGCTTATTAAAATATATTAATTTACCTATGTTTGAAAATTAATCCTCAAGTATTAAAGTCATGTCCCTCAAGTGAGAAAACATGTTATTCAGTGCACAAACACTTTTTTAAAAATAAAGGCTGAATTTACATAAAGCTGGAGTGATCTTGATCTCCACCCTAATTCCTCCACACCCTCCTGCCTAAAGAAAAGAAAAACCTTACAATGAAGATTTGTAGTATATCTACTTTCTACTTATCCTTCAAGTGCCTCAACACGTACCAGAGGTCAATGTTCAATGCTGAACTAATCCAGACATCTAAAATAATAATACCAGTGATTCATACACAGAGTTTAGCAAATAATTTAATTCATTCAGACTTTATCATTTATGCATATTCAGGATGGCTACGTCTACACTGGAATGATTTTCCGGAAATGCTTTTAACAGAAAAGGTTTTCCGTTAAAAGTATTTCCGAAAAGCGCGTCTAGATTGGCAGGACGCTTTACCGGAAGAGCACTTTTTCCGGAAAAGCGTCCGTGGCCAATGTAGACGCGCTTTTCCGGCAAAAAGCCCCGATCGTCATTTTCGCGATTATCGGGGCTTTTTTGCGGAAAACACTACTGTGCTGTCTACACTGGCCCTTTTCCAGAACAGTTTTCCGGAAAAAGACTTTTGCCCAAACGGGACCAGCATAGTTTTTCCGGAAAAGCACTGATGATTTTACATTATATCATCAGTGCTTTTCCGGAAATTCAAGCAGCCAGTGTAGACAGCTGACAAGCTTTTCCAGAAAAGCGGCTGATTTTCCGGAATAACTTGCCAGTGTAGACACAGCCGATGTGACCAAGAGTCTTCCAAAACTAATCAAACCTTTGGATTGCTATCCCTTCTTGTTTCTCCATGTAGGAACTAACAATATGGCCAAGAATGACCTTGAGCAGGTCACTGCAGATTATGTAGCACTGGAAAGAAGGATTAAGGAATTTGAAGCGCAAGTGCTGTTCTCATCCATCCTACCTGGAAGGAAAACGTCCAAGTAGGGAAGGAAAACATCCAAGTAGGGATCGCCAAATCGAGGAAGTATACGCATGGTTGCACAGGTGGTGTTGGAGAGAGGGGCTTTGGTTTCTTTGACCATGGGACTCTGTTCCAGGCACAGATGGGATCCACCTAACCAAGAGAGGAAAGACCACCTTCGCGGGCAGGCTTGCAAAACTAGTGAGGAGGGCTTTAAACTAGGTTCATTGGGGGATGGTGACCTATGGCCTGCAGAAAGTGGGATACCAGGAAGAAACACAAGGAGGAAGAAGCAACGAAGGAGTATTCCTGATTCAAATGGAGAAGATAGGGCAATCAGTTATCTAAGGTGTTTATACACAAATGCAAGAAGTCTGGGAAACAAACAGGAAAAATTAGAAGCCCTGGCACAGTCAAAGAACTATGATTTGATTGGAATAACAGAGACATGGTGGGATGACTCACATGACTGGAGAACTGTCATAGAAGGGTATAAACAGTTCAGGAAAAACAAGGGAGAAAAGGTGGAGGAGTTGCACTGTATGTAAGAGAGCAGTATGATTGCTCAGAGTTCCAGTGGAAGGAGAATAGCCTGTTGAGAGTCTATGGATTAAGTTTTGAGGCAGGAGCAATAGGGGTGATATTGTGGTTGGTGTCTGCTATAGACCACCAGATCAGGTGGATGAGGTAGACCAGTTTTCCCTCAACCTTTTTTTTTTTTAAATAAAAAGTACCCCTCTCTAAAAAAAATACATATATATGTACCCTCTTTAAAAAAAAAAAAAAAAAAGACCCCCCCCCCCCTTGGGCCCAGCCAAGCCAAGCCTGAGCATAGAACAGGGACCAAGCAGAGAAAAACACAGAAAACTAGCAATGCTTGCTACAGAGAGAAAAAGGAGTGAGAACAGAAGCAGCAACATTCCCTCTCCGTTTGTCTTGGTCATCTGTCAGTCTATTTTTCACAGCAAGCCCCAGGGGAAAGCATAAACGCAGATCCCCACTGCCACAAATAGTACAGTCAAGTTTCCCACATTTGGGGAAAATCACAGGGACCAGCACACCTACAATGCAATGGATGAGCCTCCCCCTGGGAAAACCACCTTTGTGATCATGATATCTTCCCTACCAGGTAAGTATGATCTCCACCTGCACAACCACCGCCTGCCCCCCACCATCCAAACTCTTTCACATCATGGGGGACGCCGCCTCGTGCACCCACACCGCCGGGCCCCAAACGCTCCCTTACCACCCACACCCACCCTCAAGCCGCCCCCGACATCCACACCGAGCCCTGCGTGCCCAAGGCGGGCCCTACTCGCCAGCCCGCTCCCGCTCCCACAAGCCTCCGCTCGCGCCCGCATCTGCATACGTGCTCATGCCGCTCCGCCTCTCCACCCAGGACATGCCCTCCCCTGCCTGTCTGCCCGGCCCGGCGCTCTCTCCCCTCTCCGGCCTGAGCCCTGCTTCTGCGGCAAGGAGCCCGGCGGTGCTGCTGCACCCTGACTCCCAACCCCGCCGGCGCTCTCCCCGGTTGCGGCCTGCACACCCAGCAGGAGCTGGCTTGGGCAGGAGCCGCCACTGGGGAAGGAGAGCTGGCAGTATTTTAAAGAAGATTTACGGAAGGCACAGGAACAAACCATCCCAATGTGCAGTATGAAAAGCAAATATGGCAGATGACCAGACTGGCTTACCAGGGACTTCCTTGGTGAGCTTAAATACAAAAATGAAACTTGGACAGATGACTAAGGAGGAGTATAAATATATTGCTCGAGAATGCAGGGGAGTAATCAGGCAGGCAAAAGCACAAGTGGAATTGCAGCTAGCAAGCGATGTGAAGGGTAACAAGAAAAGTTTCTACAGGCATGTTAGCAATAAGAGGGTGATCAGAGAGGGCGTGGGCCCTTACTGGATGAAGGAGCTAATCTAGTGACAGATGATGTGGGAAAAGCTAAAGTACTCAATGCTTTTTTTGCCTCTATTTTCACAGGCAAGGTCAGCTCCCAGACTACTGCATTTGGCAATACAGTATGGGAAGGAAGTGGGCAGCTCTTGGTGGAGAAAGAACAGGTTAAAAACTATTTTAAAAAGCTAGACATTCCAGGGGTCCAGACTGAATGCATCCGAGGGTACTGCGGGAGTTGGCAAATGTCATTGCAGAGCCTTTGGCCATTATCTTTGAAAACTCATGGAGATAGGGAGAGATCCCAGATGACTGGAAAAAGGCAAATGTAGTGCCCATCTTTTAAAAAGGGAAGAAGGACAATCCAGGGAACTCCAGACCAGTCACCCTTACCTCAGTCCCCAGAAAAATCATGGAGGGGATCCTTAAATAATCCATTATAAAGCACTTGGAAGAAGGGAAAGTGATCAGGAATAGTCAGCATGGATTCACCGAGGGCAAGTCATGCCTGACCAATCTGATTAGCTTCTATGTTGAGGTAACTGACTCTGTGGACATGGGGAAGTCAATGGATGTGATGTACCTTGACTTTAGCAAAGCTTTTGATACAGTCTCCCACAATATTCTTGTCAGCAAGTTAAGGGAGTATGGATTGGATAGATGGACTGTAAGGTGGATAGAAAGCTGGCTAGACTGTTGGGCCCAAAGGATAGTGATCAATGGCTCAATGTTTGGTTGGCGGTCGGTTTCAAGTGGAGTGCCCCAAGGATCAGTTCTAGGGCTCATTTTATTCAACATCTTCATTAATGACCTGGATGAGGGGATGGATTGCACCTCAACAAATTTGCAGATGACACTAAGCTAGGGGGAGAGGTAGATATGTTGGAGGGCAGGGATAGAGTCCAGAGTGACCTAGACAGATTAGAAGACTGGGCCACAAGAAATCTGATGAGGTTCAACAAGGACAAGTGCAGAGTCCTGCACTTGGGACGGAAGAATCCCAAGCATTGTTACAGACTGGGGACCGACTGGCTAGATAGCAGTTCTGCAGAAAAGGACCTGGGTGTTACAGTGGATAAGAAGCTGGATATGAGTCAACAGTGTGCACCTGTAGCTAAAAAGGCTAATGGCATATTAGGGTGCATTAGGAGGAGCACTTCCAGCAGATAGATATAGAGAATTGATTATTCCCCTTTATTCAGCACTAGTGAGGCCACATCTGGAATACTGCGTCCAATTCTGGGGCCCCCACTAGAGAAAGGATGTGGATGCATTGGAGAGGGTCCAGTGGAGGACTACTAAAATGATTAGGGGGCTGGAGCACTTGACCAATGAGGAGATGCTGAAGGACTTGGTCTTATTTAGTCTGCAGAAGAGAAGAATGAGGGAGGATTTGATAGCAGCCTTCAACTTCTTGGAGGGAGGTTCCAAAGAGGATGGAGAGAGGCTGTTCTCAGTAGTGATGGATGGCAGAACAAGGAGCAATGGTCTCAATTTACAGTGTGGGAGTTCTAGGTTGGATATTAGAAAAAAACTATTTCACTAGGAGGGTGTTGAAGTACAGGAATAGGTTGCCTATGGAGGTGGTGGAGTCTCCATCCCCAGAGGTTTAAGTCTCGGCTTGACAAAGCCCTGGCTGGGATGATTTAGTTAGGGTTTGTCCTGCTTTGGGCAGGGAGCTGGACACGATGACCTCTGGAGGTCTCTTCCAGCCCTAAGATTCTATTCCACAGGGTTTCCAATTCCCTGTCAATCTTTTGCCTTCCATTTATACAGCTTAGATTTTGTGAGTTAAGATGTTAAATGCTTTAAATCAGGGATGAGCAATAATTTTTTTGCCAGGGGCCACTTCAGAAATGTTTTAAGTGGCGCCAGGCTGCACCAGAAGGGGCAGGGTCTCAAGCGGAAAGGGTGGGGCCAGGGTACTTCCCTGCTTCCCCGACCACAGACCATGATTGGTCTCGAGGTGAGAGAGCGCTCCCCCTCTGAGATTTCCCCTAGGCACCCATGTCCCTGGCAGGGGGAGGAGACTTTGCATGCTCTCCCTTCTGCCCCCAAGCCAATCAGGGTTTGGGGGCGGGGGAGTGCGCAAAGTCTCCTCCGCCCTATCCCCACCCTCACAGGGTGTGCTCCTTGCAGGGTGAGGCAGGGTGGAGGAAGCTTTGTGCCCTTCCCCCACCCCCAGGTCTTGATTGGTCTAGGGGCGGAGGAGTGCGTGAAGCCTCCTCCCACTCTGCCAGGAGCATGTGATGCTTCTAAGTGCCGTGCGCTCCTTGCAAGGTGGGGGCGGGGCAGGGCAGAGGAAACTTTGCGTGCTCCCTCTGCTCCCAGGCCCAGAGTGTCCTGGCGGTGGGGGAGCATGTGAAGCAAGAGCGTTTGGTGCTTCTAAGCATGCTTTTCAGAGTTTGCATTATAAAACAAATCCTGATTTCTCAGGGATTTACTTCTCAATGAAATATTTAAAGAAGTTTGGTTCTGAAATAATGTGGATATAAAAGGCTAAAGGAAAGATATATATTAAGATAAAAACATACTTTGTAGAGCAGAGGACAGCAGGAGACCCCATTAGGAGTCCATAAACTTTGTCTACTAATACAGGCCATATTTTTCTATACTAAAGGGAGAAACTATATTGTCTATATATCCATAATAAAAAGGGGAAAGGAAAACAACCTTTGTAAATACTAATAAAGCAATGACCGGGGACAAATGACACTATTTCAAACAGTTAATGATAAAACTCTGTTATTTATGACATCAAACACCTGATTCATTTAAGCCATGAAGACACTTCAAAGTCAAATTTGATTTTGGAAATCATGACTCAATACATGCAATTTCATATGTAGAAACTATATCTATGTTAAACAGCTCTGAAGTAAAACATGCACCACTAAGTCAATACATTCAGGAACATGTAAAAACCTTAAACTTTTTTTGAGAGAGAAAGAAAGACATGGAACTCATAATTATCTGTTACGTATTATACTAAATAAATCTTTTTGGAAAACATGGGCACATTCCAAAACTCTTCTCCATTTCCACTGTAAAATCTTACCTCACATCTGCAGCTCAAAGAACATCAAGCTAACATGACAATTATTCATGACGTTATTACATGATTGATTATTTTACAACTTATGGCTGTGAAAATAAAAGTCTCAACCAAAAGTCTAAAAATAACCTAGACTTACAAGTGTAACATTTTCATAGCACTCATTTCTAAAAAAAAAATAATTTAAAATAAAAAAATACCAGTTCTGTGCAGCCTGGAGCTGAAATCTTTAAGGCCCCAGTTCAGAAAAGCACCCTTATTCAGGGAAGACACTTAAGTGAAATCTTTAAGGCCCCAGTTCAGAAAAGTTATGCTTAAGTACTTTCATGTTATGCTTAAGTACTTTCCTGTATCAGGGCTGAAGTAATAACATTAGATCCTCTGTTAGAGGAAGTAGGCTAAAAAGAATATAGGCCACGGTTGAGCCTAACAAGAGAAAAAATATGTTATTCCTAAAAGTAATTTTGATGGTTGATTACTATAAATTATGGTGCTAAAGAAATGCTAAACAAACTTTTGGAAGGATATCAACATCTTGTAACTATGTTTCAAAAATTAAAAAATATTAGTCCAAAAATAAGGGTTGGCTGGAATGCTACCTAATCTGCTCTCTGGAAAATAGAAAGTACAAAGTATTATAGAGCACCTTTCACTCAAACATTCAAAGCATTTTTTAAAACGGTAAATAAAATATCGGTGGGTAAGCATGACCAACTTTATCTTCAGAGGTGCACATTTTCTTCCCAAACTTCCAAATGCATTACAGTACAACCTTTATTCTCAAACAGTTGTTTGATGAATGCTTAGAATTCTTCTCTTGAAATCAGCTGACATGGCAATGCTAGCATGCAGAATTAACTTGCAGATTGCAGATGGTGTGTCCCTATTACTCTGTTTGGGCTTGCCCTCATCAGAAAGTTCGGTTGTGTTAGAGCACAACTTTGTAGAGCCACATTAACTTACAAAATGGGACTGTGCCCCACAAGTGTTTAAAAGTTGTCAGATCAATCTTACTTTTACAAAATGGGACTGTGCCCCACAAGTGTTTAAAAGTTGTCAACAGCTTGCAGATCAACCTTACTTCAACCAGAGGTTTACCACCAGCTAACCTGATTAAACACAACTTTGCAATCTATAAATGAAGGACTGTTGTGTTTAAATACTGCACTATTTAATATGACT